CTTTCATTTCACATAAACTTTTCATATATGAAACATAATTCATTATGAATAAAATCTAAAAAAGTGTGAGAAATTAAGATCTTAAAATGTGTCTGTCTGTTGCATTTTAACTGTGTATGTAATAATACTGTTAGATGTTACAACAATAAAATACACATTCTTATTCAGCGAAGTCTCACAAGGTTTCATGGTGCTTTGGAAAGTTACAGGGTCAAATATAGCATGTTTCAGTTTATACACACTGAAAATTGCCAGGCTGGTTATGTTGCCTTTGAGACTTGTATGAGATTTACCCCCATGATGGCATACCATTTGCAAAAGTAGACAACCCAGGGTATTTAATATGGGGTATCTCCAGTCTTTTTTAGTAGCCACAAAAACTGGCCAAAGTAAGTGTTTATATGTGTTTGTGTTAAAAATGCAAAAAAAACTATATAAATGCTTACTTTGGCCAGTGTTTGTGACTAAGTGGCTACTCAAAAAGACTGAACATACCCCATTTCCAATACCTTGGGTTGTCTTCTTTTGCAAATGGTATGCCATCATGGGTGTATTTCTCATTCCTGGGCTAACATATGCTCGCAAAGGCAACATAACTAATCTGGCAAATTCCAATTTGAAAAAACGGAAATGCAAGCGTTATATTTGACCATGTAACTTTCATTAACACAATAAAACCTGTACATTTGGAATACTGTTATACTCGGGAGACTTCACTGAACACAAATATTAGCGTTTCAACGCATTTTCACCAGTGAAAGTGCCGTTTGTGTGTGAAAAATGCAAACAAACGTCACTTTCACGGACAATATCATTGTTGTGATACGTATTACTGTTTTGAAACAAAGATTTGTGTTCAACGAAGTCTCCCGAGTATAGCAGTATTCCACATGTACAGGTTTTATAGTTTTTTAAAGTTACATGGGTTGTCAGGCAGGTCCCTCAAATCGTATTCAATAAAATTACTTAATTATGTAAAAATATTACATAAATATGCACGTAGAATTTAAATATATATATACATACATATTTATATATTTAAAGTCTACGTATATTTATGAAGTTATTTTTGTAATAATTTTTATTTATATGTAGATATATATAATTTCATTCTAAGTATTTTAATATGAATATATATATATTCATATCAAAATACAGTTAGAATGAAATTACATATATAATTAAAATATAAAAAAAAAGATAATTTTATATATTTTACCTATTTATATTTTAGAACACACACACACACACACACACACACACAGTTATTACAGCTATATATACACAGTTATATACAGCCCAGGCAGTCCCCCTGCAGGCAGCACTGTGGACGGCTATTGTGGTCATGTGACCGCTCTTTCAGAGCGATCACATGGCCCGCGGGGGCCTAATTTGGAGAGAAGGGACTGTCTGGGCTGTCAGGCAGTCCCCCCAGACTGGGAGCAACACCGATTGCTGGTGGGGATTGGGTAAGTGGGGTGGACAGCGTCCTTAAGGGGTTAATATGTCCAATAGAAGTCAATAATGAGGTCATCATGGTATGGACATCAGGCTGCTGGGACCCTCTAGACCCTTCTCCTGCATCCGAGTTGTTGGTGGTGTATTCAGAGGTCTGAATAAATCAGCTTTCCTGGCAGTAGTCTGAAAAGGAATACACCTTCAACGGAGCTCCGCTGTAAGATGCGGAATAGTCCACGATCTAAGAGACGATGGACTAGTTGCATCTGCTCCATGGGCAGGGGTACCAGATCTAGCTGGGTGCTAGGAAGGGACAGTTCTTCCGCCACTTCGGGAACCTGAGACATTGAAATATATAAATTGCCATTAGTGTGAAAACCGCAAACTGGTACTGGCTAATTCCAAGTGGCAAAACATTTACACTAAAAGAGATTGACAGGTGTGGTCCTGCTAGTTGCCAAGTGGCTTGAGAGGCTCTAACTATGCTGTGGCCAGAGGGATTTTGAGGCCACCGAACATTGTGGTGGGGTGTTGGCCTCTCAGCGACAACTAAAGCAGAAGATAGTATATGAGTGACACGTGAGGCCCTCTCTATGCAACAGTGCAAGGTGAATATCTATGCGTTGGACCGATCCTCTGAGTATGAGGATGGGAGTTGGCCTTGCGGGACCACTAGCCTATGGCATAAAGGCTGGAAAACAAACACTGTTTGGACACCTCGATCACTAAAAGCCAGTACTCTCTGCTAATAAGGAACTATGAACTTTAGCAATTGTAAATGTCGTACCCGAGACATTGAAGAGTCTGAAATGATGATTCCCTGTAGAGGTAGATTAAGGGGGGTGAGAAGATGAGAACGTATGATAGTATCGGAGGATGTAGTAAAACATGTGGGCCAGATCGTGGACCCAAGTAATATAAAGTAACCTACCCAAATTGCTAGATACGAGGTGAAAAATTGGCAAATGCTGCCAAAAATTTATGAACACCTCATGATATGAACAGTCTGGACAGCTATAGTCTCCTAAGGAAATTGAGATATTATCGTGAATAAACAAGCAGGGATGAGGTTTATAGCCCAACATATAAACCCAAATTTACCAACCTAGAAATAACCTTGATGTGCTGCTAAACGGAAACAATTGCCCATGACTATTAGTTCCTGAAAGAACCTGTAGGTTAAAGCGGCACTGTCATGCCGAATCCCGTTTTTTTTTTAACCCCCCTCCCGCCTCCACTACATCCAATTGACCCACTAGTCACCCCCAAATGCCCCTAAGCCCCCCACATTACCTATTTTTAAATCCTTATTTTCTGCCCCGATCTTGATTCAGGGTGCCGCCATCTTTGTGTGGGTAGGTGAAGTCCCTCAGGGACACGTCATCAGCCCACACTAGGCAGACACTGAGATTCCCGCACATGCCCAGTGAAACACCTGGACATGCGAACGGGAATTTCATCTATTCATTCATCAGACAGACGAATGAGTGAATAGAAAGATCAGCCGAACAAACAAACAAACACTATGTATCAGTGTTTGTTTGTTCGTTTAGTTTATTACAAGGAGGGAGCTACCGGCACGCAGCTCCCTCCTTGTAATATGTAACTATTGAAGCGGCAGGGAGCAGTGCTCCCCACCACTTCATAAGCCCCCCAGTACACCCTCTCACCCCCATAATAGCACAAGGGAGATTAAAATCTCCCAAATGCCCCTACTCGCTATACCGCGAGTAGGGGCATGTCTACTAAACAGTGAGCAGCCATAGGCTGCTCACTGTTGAAAAAAAAAGACATACATTACAATAAGGGGGGGCGGACCTATTGTCCTCCCCCCCTCCCCCATCCTGAGCGGTGGGTGGGGGCCATGAAGATAATGAGGGGGGGACCTACTGTCTCTTCTCCGCCCCACCCCTGAGCGTGTGTGTGTGGGGCCCTAACACACAAGGGGGACCCACTGTCCCTCCCCGCCCCACCCCCCGGGATGTGTGGGTGGGGCCACACAACAACAAGGGGACCTACTGTCTTCCTCTCTCTGGCCCCACCCCTGAGCCGGGTGGGGGACCCTAATAAAACACAGCCTGACCCACTGTCCCTCCCATCCCCTGGCCCTCCCCCACCCCCCGCTGTAAGTGGGGCCCTAATAAAACACAAGGGGGGACCCACTGTCCTCCCTCCGCCCCCACCCCTGAGCTGCAGGGTGGGGGCCCTAATAAAACAATAGGGGGGGGGACCTACTGTCCTCCCCCCCCTGGCCCCCACCCCTGAGCGGTGGGTGGGGGCCCTAAATGAAACACCCCCCCCCAATCAAGGTGACTAGGGGTCCCAAGCCCCTAGTCACCAACCCCCCACCCAAAAAAACCTATCCCCTACCTGCCCCCCCCACCCTACAAATAGTGAGGGGGGAATAAAATAACTAACCTGTAAAAAAAAAAAAAATTAAACTTACCATTTGACGTCTTCTTTTTTCTAAAATCTTCTTTCTTCAGCCCCCAAAAAGGCCAAATAAAATCCATTACACCCGC